TTGTTCTTTAACACATCTATCATTCAGGAGTGTGTTGTTTAATCTCCATAAGTTCATGCAGTTACTAGAGCTTCTTTTTCTGTTGATTTTAAGTTTTATTGTGTTGGGGTCCAATAGAATACATAGAATTATTTCATTTTTTGTATTTGTTGAGGTTTGTCCTGTATGTGATCTATTTTAGAGAAATTTCCATTGGCCGTTGAGTAGAATGTGTAAACTTCCCTCTAAGGACAGCTTTCAGCGTGTCCCAGAGGTTTTGTCATGTTGTATTGTCCTTTTTGTTTAGTTCCAGGAATATTTTTATTTCTTTCTTAATTTTGGACCTAACACATCTATCATTCAGGAGTGTGTTGTTTAATCTCCATAAGTTCATGCAGTTACTAGAGCTTCTTTTTCTGTTGATTTTAAGTTTTATTGTGTTGGGGTCCAATAGAATACATAGAATTATTTCATTTTTTGTATTTGTTGAGGTTTGTCCTGTATGTGATCTATTTTAGAGAAATTTCCATTGGCCGTTGAGTAGAATGTGTATTCTTTGGTGCTTTGGTAGACTATTCAGTAGATATGTGTTAGGTCCATTTGATATCATTTAATTCAGATGTTTCTCTTATTCTTTGTCAAGATGACCTGTATATTGAAGAAAGTGGGGGTTTTAAAGTCGTCTACTATTACCAAGTTGGGGTTAATCTGTGTCTTAAGGTTCAGTAGTACTGTTTTTATGAAATTGGGTACACCAGAATTTGGTGCATGTATGTTCATGATTGTGATGTCTTCTTGGTATATTTTTTTCTTGATCAGAATGTGATGGCCTTCTCTAGCTCTTCTGATTAATTTTAACTTGAATTCTATTTTGTCAGATATTAGAATAGCAATTCCTTCTTGTTTCTTAGTGCTACTTGCTTGGAATATTATTTCTATCCTTTCACCCAAAGGTGGTGCATATCCTTGGGGGTCAGATGAGTTTCCTGTAGACAACAAATAGATGGATTTTGTTTCTTAATACCTTCAATTAACCTGTATCTTTTGACTGGGGAGTGGAGGTCATCGATATTTAGAGTAGTTATTGAAAAGTGTATATTGGTTACTGTCACTTTATTTTCTGTTTGTGTTCTTAGTTCTATTTTGTGTTTCCATACTTTATACCTTCATTTGTTTTCTTTCAGTAACCTCTTGAGTATGGTCATTTCTATCTTCAGTCTTGTGTATTGCTTCAAGTATTCTCTGTAGGGCTGGTTTGGTGGATATGAATTCTTTCAGCCTACTTATATCATAGAAGATTTTTTCCCCTTCAACTATGAAAGACAGTCTTGCTAGGTAAGGTAATCTTGGTTGGTACCTATGGTCATTTAGAACTTGGAATACTTTGCTTCAGACTCGTTTGGCTTTTATACTTTGCATTGAAAAGTCAACTGTAATTCTGGTGGGCTTTCCTTTAAAAGTAACTTGATTTTCTCTTGCAATTTTCAGTACCCTCTCTTTATTCTGAACATTTGGTTTTTTTACTAGGATATGTCATGAGGAATTCTGTTCTGGTCCTGTCTAATTGGTGTTCTGTGTGCTTCTTGTATCCATATAGGTATGTCTCTCCTTAAGTTAAGGAAGTTTTCTTCTATAATCCTGCTGAAGTTCTGGTAATACCATTGACTTGAGATTCTTCTCCTTCCTCTATGCCTATGATGGGTAGATTTGGCCTTTTCATGGTGTCCCACATTTCCTGCATATTCCATTCATGTCTTTTTAATTTTTTTTCATATTCTTTTCTTGAACATCCAATTCTTCAACTTTTTTTTCCAGTCTTGATATTCCCTTTTCCATTTGATTCATTCTGCTGCTGAGGTTATCTCCTGTCACTTCAAATTGGCTTGTTAAGTTTTTCAAGTTCCATATTCATTTCAACCTGAATTTTCATCAATATTTCTACCTCTTTCATGAATTCATTTTTCAAGTCCTGAATTGTCTTTGTCATTTCATTCAGCCTTATAGTCATATTTCCTTGAGCTTCATTCAGAAGTTTATTCTTATCCCCTTTGAGTTCTTTGAGCTATTTGTGTTCTTTAAAGCCATTGAATTCTTTGATCATGTTTATGATTGTTCTTTTAAATTCTTCATCTTGGGGTTCCTCTGGGTGTTTCTCATTGTATTACGTTTGTGTTGGGACTGATGGGTTTTGGTGAGAACATATTATCTTGGGTTTTTATATTATTTTTGTTTTCTTTTGTTGGTTGTGTGTCTGCCATGAAATTCTAACCTGCCTTTGTTTAGTTGAATTTTGGTTCTCTTTATACTGTTGATGTAGCTTGGTTGCTTTTTGATCTGGTATAAATAGTTAGTTGTTCTGTGCTTCAGGCTCTCACTTTTGATTTTTTATTGGTGGGATAGTAGGGTTTCAGTCTTGCTAGTCAAGAGCAGGTTGGAAGGGACTGAGGCCCAGTTCCAGACTATGGGGGAATCCAGTGGCTGGGTTCTCAAAGGCTAGTCTGGAGCTCTTAGATGGGAGGGGTAGGAGGAGAACTGTGCCCAAAGAGGAGATGGAGACAGAGTGGGGAGGGTCTAACTAGCTAAGCAGAGTAATGTGAGTCCTGGAGCAGTGAGAATGTAGCTGGTCTTCAGAGCAGGAGGATGAAGACCCAGTGGGCAGGCTCTAACTAGGCTTACCCTGAGGTCTGATGAATAGGAGGGGGGCTACAAAGTGGGGACACAGACAGCCTGGGGAGGGTCTAATTCGTTAAGCAGAGTTTAAAATGTCAGCCCTGAAGCCGCAAAAGAGGTGCAACTTTTGACTTGCAATTTCAGGATTGGCTACACAAATCCTGGATCAGCAGGCTGGGATGGAGCTGCTGCTATATGAGCAGGTTGACTGGTAGGTTAGGTTGGAAGTTTGTAGATCTGGAACAAACAGAGCTCAGATGGCAGGGCACAGGGAGGTCTCAGGGACTGAGCTAAAAACTGTAAGTTTGGAACTGGAAAAGATTCCCAAGACCCAGGCTGGGCTGAGAGCTGAGGTGGCAGGGAGTGACTCACTCTGCCAAGCTGAAGTACTCACAGATCTGGGATGGAATAGGGTCCCTGTGGTCTAGGGAAGTCTAAAAGCTAAGATGGCAGTGAGCTAGGGAAGAAGTGTTTATTTTATGTGTATGAGTATTTTGCCTGCATGTATCTAAGTGTATGCATGTTGTGCAATGCCTGCAGAAGCCAGAAGAGGGTGTCAGGTTCCCTGGAACTGGAGTTACAAAAGGTTGTTAGCTACCATGTAGATGCTAGAAACTGAACCTGGGTCCTCTGCAAGAATAGTCAGTGCTCCAGCCCCAGTAAAAAATATTTAAGAAAACTAATGATAGTGTTCTCTGCTAATCCACATGCACACCATTTTCATGCTTTTATTCTTTTCCATAGATCTGAGCTACCACCTGGGTTCATTTCTTTTAAACATAAAAAAATTCTTTACTTTCTTGACATTCAGGCCTGCTGGTGACACATTCTAGCAGCTTTTATCAAGACATGCCCTAATTTCACCTTTGTTTTTGAAGGACAGTTTCATTGGATCTCGAATTCTGTGTAGTCTTGTTTTTCTTTCACACATTCCTGCTTTGTCTTCATCCCCTCAACGTGTTTCAAAAGAAGGTGTGATTCGTATCTTTGTTTCTCTCTGATGTATTGCCTCTTCTCAAGTTGCTTTTAATAGATTCTTAATCTTTTATTATTCTCAGTTTGGCTATGTTGTGTCTACATGGATTTTCATGTCATTCATCCTACTTGGAGTCTGTAAGCTTTTTGGATCTCCTACTTACCAAATCTTTGGAGATTCTTTGGTTTACTTGGTTGGTTACTTGATGTTTTTTTAGACAGGATCTTTCTGAATACCCCAGACTGACCTTGAACTCATGATTCTGCCTCAGCCTCTGAGTGCTGAGATTATAGGTATGAGACACCATGCTTGGCTTGTTTGTTTGTTTGTTTGTTTGCTTCACAACTGTGTTGTTCTTTTCTGCTAATTCCAAAATCCATACTATTTCCTAAGCCTGTTTCTTTAATGAAATAAAAGTTTGTCACATAAAATAAGTCTAGCAGTTATTTACTGTAGAAACATACATCTTGACACCTGCAGGCAACTGCGCATCATCGCATATTACCATTTGCATAATGATGGGCTTAAAGTCATTAAGAAAACCTTAAATCTACTTAGGATGGGAATGTGGGTAATGCACCTTGAAAATTATAGAATCGTGTCACTTAAAAACAAGATCGTGAAATCATTAAGATCCAGCAGGATCTGTAATATGGCAATGTTTCCTAAAGGGGTAGGTATGAGTCATCCAGGAGAGTTACCTCTTCAAGTTTCCTGCTATCTTCTCTGAAAACATCAGATCCCTGGAAAACCATTGTGAAGCCTTAATAATTAACATTATGAAAAGTGAATCATTTCTGTATTGGGCATCATTATCTCCCTCATCTTGATGTCCAAACCTCGCTACCATGGTGATCCTTGGGGTGTCCTCTGGGTCATGTAAAAAAGAAGGAAAAGGAGAGAGTAGAGAGATAGGAAGGGATGTATTCCTTGTGTGATGTGTTTTCTAAATCACTCAGTATGATGAAGGACTTTCATTAATATCAAATGCCACCCACAGCCATTTTTAAGGATTATCCAGGATCATAAAGCCTCTGCTCTCAGCCATCCCTACTGCTCTGATGTGCTTCTCTCAACAGTATGAGCAGTGAGTGCTGGCAAAGCTGTGTCCCTTAGCATTCCTCCTGAGGAGACAGCCAACCCTAGCCTCCTTCCTTGGGGACAGGAAAAGACCCCATATCTCCTTTATGGAATGATTTGTGTTTCTTTCAATCAATGGCTATACCCATTCGACAGAACAGATCCTAAGGAAGTGTTAAACAGCAAATTTTTCATGGAAGTCTTTTTTCCCTCCATGTACTTTGTTCATATCTATTGATGATGATTCTTCTGTGCTACTGAATATGGTTTACAAACTTTCTCCTTTCTTTTATAGGAAAACCTGGTTCTGTTTTCAGCAGATCCATCCTCCAGCATCTGGAAGACTTATGTTAACTATATAGATGAAATGTTGCTGGACGGATTCTTTCTTGCCATCGAATGCTCCCTCAAGTACCTACTGGAAAACACTGGTACCTTCCAGCTGATAGATATGGATTATGACTGGGTAGAAAACATCAGTAGATTCTGTTGTGTTAAAGTGAAGTGTAGTGGAGGTTCTGTGATATTTCCCAAAATGTGGAGACATTTTGTGAATGATACATGGTAAACCAGTGAAGGGTGGTTCAAAGGGAAAAGATTCCCAACCCTTTAAAAATTATGTCTTAGAGCAAGCTGCAAGATCATGAAGCCCGTAGCAAAAGCAAATAAGTGAACTCCACCAACGCCAAGCTCCAGCAGAGGAATGACTAAGTTAGTGCAGACAGAAGTAGTTACTAAGGACAGCTTCCTCCACACTTGACTCACAGTACAACTAGAAGGGACATTCTGTGCCTTAAAGCTCCACACGTTCTGTCTCTGTGGCATTTTGAGAACACAGAAGGTTTGTAGTAGCCAGGTAAAGTGGAAAAAACAGACAGAAGATGTGTGTGAAAAGAGACACATAGCAAGGGTGAAGGTAGCTTTTAGAAGGAAAAGATATATTAAGGAGGTAAAGGGCTTCTTTGAAACTTAAAAATAAGGGAGCTAGGCATGGTAGCAATACTTCTAATCCCAGCATTAGAGAGGCAGAGGCAGGTGGATCTGTATGAGTTCCAGGCCAGCCTGGTCAACTTGGGGAGTTCTAGGCTAGTCAGCCAACAGTGAGATCCTGTCTCAAACAAACAAAAAGCAAAGCAGTGTAGCAGCGGCTATGTGAGAGCATACTCACGAGCCTGAGGCTTTCTTTAAAAAACGATGGGGTATCTTTATACACTCTTGCCCACCAAGGCTGAGGAAGTGCAAAGAAAAAGACTAAGAACCAGAGGTGGTGGGTGGCTACAAAGAAACAGCATTTTCCAGACAACAGAGCAGATGTACATCTGAACTCACAGTGGCTGTGACAGCACAAGACCTGCTCAGTCTCAAGCCAGACAAAAGTACAGCATGGAGGAGGCACGTAGGCAGGAAGCCACACCCCTAGCTGAGGAGTTATTGACATTTGATAGCTAATCGGAGAAGTCAGTTTTCTTTAAGGATGTGACCCATACTAAGTCAGCCATGTTCCTGGGCAGGCTCCATACCCAAGTGTATTTGGGCAATACAAATTGGACTAATGGGTTTAAAAAGATAAAACAAAGCTGGGTGGGTAGGGAGGTGGGATAGATGTGGGATGGGGGAGGAAGAGAGAATGGGGTCAAAATAAATTGTATGAAATTCTCAACAAATTAACAAACATTTTTTAAATATATAAAGGAGAAAATAGGTAAGGGCTTTGAATTAGGGTAAACTGTGGTAAAGGGAACAGAGTCAAAAATCTTATAGCGTGTTAAACTTGGTTAGTGAATGGTGAGATAAACAAGGTAGGAAAGTTCAGGACAAAGAGTTAAATTAGATCTTTACATTATAGTAGACTCTGAGTTGCCTAGCAAGGGTCATATTGAAGAATGAGTCAAAACACAACAGCAGAGGTGAAAATTTTGAAGGCAGAGAAGATGAAAGTGAGATGAGAGTTTAATATACCATATCCAATCCAAGCATAGAAATCAAGTGCAGAGATAAAATAGTAGACTATGCTGAGTCCAGACATCCAGCCCAGAAAAGAGGGTACATGCAAGCACCTAGGTTGTGAATACAGATGGGAGCACTGCTCAGCACAGTGTGACCCCCCCCAGAAACAACCCAGGGGTCTTGGTAGCTGGAAAGTATGAGGTGTGAAGTGTGGTCTCTGCCTGAACAGAGCAGAGATGCTCCAAATTTAAAGAAATACTGCAGCAAGTCCAAGAGAATCCAATACTAAGAAAATGGGTTAGCTTCTAGGGTCAAGGGCATGGAACTCAGGTACCAAGGTTGGAGAATTGACTCCTAGGTACCAGCATGGAAGCTTTCTCCTTAGTGAATTGACCAGATTTCTCTGATGTTGGAGGTTTGAGCAGCCTTCCCCTCTGCCTTTTCTTGGACCCAGGAAGGTGCCATAGTCACATGTGGGTGCAGGCAGAGCTGATCAATGGCATTTCAGTGTAGTGACTCCACCTTTGCCCAGTGGCTGTCTGACTTTCCAGATGTGGAATGGCCTGATGTGTCACTTGTTATCTAGTGGTAAGGTAGAGTGGAAACAAAAGATGGAGAGAAGAGCTAGTAGTCTTTCCTAAAGATTTCGGAAGTTACCTTCTCTCCATGGAGACAAGATGACAGGGGAACAGCTTTCTTCCAAAGACAAGCCTCTAAATTCTTTGAGTAGGCAGAAGTTGGGCTTTATAGCTGCTTGAGTTGAGGCATTATAGGTAAAATATAAAGCCAGGGGTGGTGGCACACATCTGTAATGCTAGCACCTAGGAGACTAAGGCAGGAGGATTGCAAGTTTGAAGCCAGCAGGGGCTACATAACAAATTCCAGACCAGCTGGGCTACAGCAAGATCTTTTCTCTAAAAAAAAGACGTTTTAAAGGTACTGGCTAGCTGAGGGGAAACAAAATGGCTTGAAGACATTAGCTTTTCTTGTTAGGTCTACTTTACCAACTTTGTCTTTCTGGGTTAGCTGAAGCCTATACATTCTTGCAGCTTGAGCTGGCCTCCTTGTCATAGTTCAAAGCCAAAATCTTGCATTAAAAGAAAGCTACATGCTACCTATCCCTCCAAGAAGTAGTCTCCTCTTACCTCTTATGGAAGGACAGTAATTTTCCTTTTATAATAATCATGTCTGCATCATATCCAGTGTAGGGATTCTGTTCTTGTACCAGCACACGTGGTAAAAGTCCTGTAAATCCAAAACTATTCTTCCATTCTTCTGAAGTACTTCTAACCCCATGCGCTTCAGATAAATAACACAAACAAATCTAAAACCTAATTCCACAGGATTTTGTTGTTTATGTTTAGTTTTTTTTGTTTTTTCAGTGCTGGAGATTAGATGTGCTACGCTATTGGTAAACTTATATTCTCTTAAGTCAAAAATACACTTATTGGACTGAAGAGATGGCTCATCGGTTAAGACCACTGGCTGTTCTTACAGAAGACCTGGGTTTGAATCCCAGTACCCACATGGCAGCTAACAACCATCGAAATCCAGTTCCGGGGATCTGATGCTCTCTTCTCAGTTCTATGGGCATTGCATTACATGGGCACACTTACACACATGCAGGCATAACACTCATACACATAAAATAAAAATAAATAAAAAAATTTTTAAAAACCTTAAAAAAAATACACTCATTGGGAATCCCCTGAATCCCACAATATAAATTCACCATTTGATCCTTGCAATTTTAAAAGCAAGATGGTAATCTTACACAGGATCTTTGCGGATATAGTCTTGTTTTGGGTTTTTTGTTTGTTTGTTTGTTTGTTTGTTTGTTTGTTTGTTTAAAGTGAATAGCTAGGCTATGGCACAAAAGCTGTGTCCATAAAGTGACTGAAGTGACTTAAGGGACAAAGAAGCCACCCCCGCCACCCCACAAGTTAATAGTCCATTGTTAGCATTCCGGTTTGTGGCAGGCTCTTCCTATCCTATGGTTCTGCTATTCTCTAGGGCCCTGGCTTCATTCCATGATTGAGTCAGGTCCCACCCAAGCTCTAGTCTGTGGGAGGGAATGAAAGAATGTATAGAGAAGGTTTACTTACCTCTCAAGTGCCCCTGCCCCAAGTGGTGCTCCTTTCCACCTTCCACCAGTGAGGCAATCACATTACCACCAATAACTGCAGGTGGGGCTGAGGAATTTGGTTGCATGTCCAATTATAGCTCTAGTTCTAGGAACTAAGAGGGCAATGGTTCAGTGAGACGCCTCCTCCACGCACACTACCCAACCCATAATACTTCCAAATATTTCTACTATCTAAAAGATACATGGCAGTAAGTGCTTACTGGTAAAGATTTTTTTAACTTAAAAAATTATTAAGAATTTTCTTCATGCATATAAGGTGTTTTGATCAAATCAATGCCCACTCCCTCCCTTCCAACATCTCCCATTAACGTAGACTTAGAACATTGTGCTCTGTGTTGTATTTTTATTTGATTTTAGTAAGGCAACTTCACCTAGCCAATAATCAGGAATCTGTGAATTATTTACACTGTTTTAAAAATGTTTAACCCTGCAAGACCACAGAATAAAAATAAGTTCTATGTTTTTAGAAGAGAAGCAGGAAAAGTAGTGTCATAACTTACTCTCAGTTTTTAATTCCTGTGCAAGTGTTGACATGGGTGGGGTATGCACCATTCACGAGGTGGCTGCCAGGGCTCTTCTGTAAAGAAATGGACTGCTTCTGACAGGACAGTCTTGAAAACTCAGGAGAGTTTTCAGGCATTGCCTCCAGGAGGCATTTGAGACTGTGGGAGGGAATAGAACAGACTTGGGTTGGCCAGTCACCAGAATGTGTCCTGTGGGGACAAAGAGAGTAAATGTCCTACAGGGCCCCTGGGAAAGCCTGTGCTCATTCAGAATGTCAGCTGTTCCCCTGCTGAGAAACACCGCAGGGCTACGTCCTCACCTTTACAGGCAAAAATTACATTTCAGTTTTCCTACACTTTAAAGACATGCTCGACTCCAGATGTTTCAAAGTGGCATCTGCTTCGCCCACTTGCCCCACTCTTCATTCTCTTGTTGCTCAATTTTCCAGAGAATAAGGCTGGACTCACCCCAATATTTGAAGCAGAACTCAGCCTTGCCATCCCCGAATTAGTTTTCCATCCATCTCTGGACTGTGGAGTGAAGGGGGGCCTCCATGACATCATCGAGAGTCTCGTCAGCAGCATTTTTGCAATCTCATCCCTGGTGCCCCGGCCCTCCTCACACGATGGCTCATCACACTATCAGGTAGGGAATCTGCAGCTGTCTGCCCTCCCCCACTTCTGGAACATCAAAGCAAGCACCAGTGTAATCTCCCCACTGTTGTGTGCCTCCCCAACCCCCAACCCCCACCACCAGAGTGACCTGGAGGGTATGGCCAACTTGGCCAGGCTGCGGAGCATGCTCATGGAGAGAGTACAGAATGTGATGACCCTTTGCTGTGGCTACCGGAATACCTTCAGCCAGTATTCCTACCTCTATGTGGAGGACCGGAAGGAGATTCTTAGTCAGTTTCTGCTGTATGGGCGTGTCCTTACACCTGAGGAAATGGAAGCCCATGCAGAAGATGGCATTCCAGAGAATCCACCCCTCCTCCATCACTTCAAAGCACAAATCGACTCCTATGAAAAGCTCTATGAAGAGGTGGGCAGCCTGGAGCCCACCAAGGTGTTTGATGGCTGGATGAAAGTCGATGTGCGACCCTTCAAGGCATCTCTGCTTAACATAATTAAGAAGTGGAGCCTCGTGTTCAAACAGCATCTTGTTGACTATGTCACTAACAGGTAACACCATTGTCCTACTATTTCCCAGCTGCCAATGATGCATGCTTGTAATTGTCTTTGTATCTATCCCCATTGATTCATTGATTAAATTAAAACAGCTGGTTTGCATTCCCAGACTTTTAGATATCATAGTAATTTCAATTCTGTCCCTTCTTTTGTTCTCCAGATAATGGTCTGTTTTATTTTCCACTTGGTGCTCAGTGGGCCAGAGCCACCTAGTAAGTGGTAAATAACATTAGAGACCATAATCACAGATCCAAATCCCTTCACAGCATTAACTGTAAAATCTGTAAGCCCAGGAGGCAGAGAGGGGTCTAATGTCTAATGCTTAGATTTCATTTCCTACCACTTACTCCTTGGTTCAGATGATCAAGCAGTGTAATGTAGAAGTCAGTAGAGTGCCAGGGTCCTGTGTGCCTGTCTGTGCCATCCTAGCTATGTCACACATGGACTCTCTCCAGTAACCCAGGCCATTCAGCCCAGCACTGTGCCCTCTAACTCAGAGCAGCCCTCTGCATGAACGATCTTGACAAGTTGACAGTTCCCTGGTCACTCCATCTTAGTCTTGTCTCCAGAATTTCACCCACAGTCTCTACTCCAAATCTTGATGGTAAGGGGTAGAGTCCCTCTGTCTACTGATAAGCCTTGGTGTGTCAGATGACTGCAAAGAAGCCCACCTGACCCCTCTCCTTGCTTCTGAGCTGACCCTGCTCAGTGCTGCAGCTGCTCTGATCCACAGTCTAGAGCTATGATAGATGGGAAACAGCAAGACTGAGGCATTACCTACTTAAAATAACCACAAGAGACTTTGCAAGGGTGATGCTCCAGCACTGTACAAAGCGAAGCATTGTGGGGATGATTTAAACCGATTTCCAGGGTTCCTTTGGAAGCAGCAGCTAGTTTTGGTACGTTCAGGAAAGCTTTTGCTGACTGAGGAGCCTAGAGCACACAAGTATCCACTGCTGCCTGCTGCCTGCTCCTGGCAGACCACTTGCTCTCCATTCTCCTCAATGTCACCAGCTCCACTGAAGTGACTTCCACCAGACAGCACCAACTGCCACTCATCCTTGCTGAAGCCACCTACTTAGATCTGACTCATTCTTCCTCATCATTGAAGGCCTTATCAACAAGCTCTCATCCTTCCTTTCCCATCACCCAAGTGACCTCACATCCCCACAAAGTCTCCATGACACCTGCCATGTGTTTTGTTGACTCATGGATGTCCCTTCTCCCTGCCATATGACTGTTCCTGCTTATAAGCTATGCTCTCAGTAGGGGAGGGATAGATGGGCAAATAATTGTTCTCTCTTCAAAAGCTCACCATTCCATTTTCTGACCACACCTGCTGTCTTTCCACCTCACTTACCCAGCAGCCCCGAAGTACAGAATTCTTCAGATCCATCAGAATTTCCGACCCTTCTCGCTGCCTGTCAGGCTAGTTCTTTGTTCCTTCTCAATTCAACCCTTCAAAACCCTGACTCTGTTTAAACTCAATTCCCATCTGTACCTCAGCAATTCATCTTTGTTGCAGCAAAAGCAAACCATTCTCCTACTTACTCTCATATTCAGATACTTCAAGTGCCTGTTAGTAAGTGTAAGTAAGTACTACATATGTAAGTACTACAAGACCCTCCACATTGTTCTAGATGCTTCCCAGCTCTCCCAGACTCCCATGTCCTTGCTCTCTACAAACTGATGGTTTTGCCAATATCAACAATATTGCTATAAATACTGTTATACTGTGTATCGTGATGTGCAGGAGCAATTATTCCTTTAGGCTATGTACTGAGAAGAGTGTTAGGTCAAGAGCAGGCATGCTATGGCAAATGCCCTCCAAGGTACAGTCAGCCATGTATAAGAGTCTCTGTGTCCCAGTGTCCACAGTATCTCCTGGTCCAGGCAGACTGCTTCACCCTGGCCTCTTCCATGGGAGTTTCATGGTATCTCATTGAGGTGACTGCTTTGCACTGCTCTGATCAGGAATAAGTTCTTTTCATGTCTTTGGTGAATGTGTTTCCTTTTCTGTGCTAGTCCTATCCCGCCCCTCACTTTTCTGATGAACTTTATTTTGTATTTGTTGCTATTTAAGAGTTGCTGGCATTTCATGTGAAATATTTTGCTAGTTGTATAAATCACATATACGCAGCTATCCAATATAGTCTCCAGTTTTGAGTCTTTCTGTCCACTCCATTTACAGATGGTCCCCTATATCCACAAGGTATAAGTCTGCAGATTCAAACAAGCACACATCAAAAATATTTTTTCAAATCTGTGTTTGAATTGAACTTGTCCAGACTTTGCCATTATTCCCTGAACAGTATGAAAGAGCAATTATCTATAGAGCACTGGCATTGATTGAGATAATTGCAAATAAACTAGAGGTGATTTGAAGTATATGGGAAGCTGTGTATAGGGAAAATGCAAATACTACTCCCATTCTACAGAAGGGGCTTGAATATCTACGGAAGTTGGTATCTACGGGTGGTCCTAGAACCAACCAACGTCATGTACAGAGAGGGATACTTGGATTTAATGAATGACTCTTAGTTTCAATGTAGCCAAATGCACTTACCTTCTCCTTTAAGTTCTTTTGTCTTCTTAAATATATTATTTTTTGCCTTGAGAGCATGATGACACTTCTATATTCTTTTCTAAAAGTTTTAGGACACTGTTTTTGTGATTTTCATACAATATAATTAATTTTTTTTTGGCCTTTTTGAGACAGGGTCTCCCTGTAGCCCCAGCTGGCCTGGAACTCACTATGTAGACCAGGCCAGCCTTGAGCTCACAGAGATCCACCTGACTCTGCCTCCCAAGTGCTGGGATTAAAGATGTGTGCCACCATGCCCGGCTAATATAATTAATATTTTATTGAGTTTTTGTACATTTCATATAATAGATCTTAATCAAATTTAGAGACCGTCCCCCATTTGTACCCTCATAGCCCCCCCCACCAGATTTCATGCATTCGTCATATATGTTAAGTCCTATCCAGTCAAGCATTTGTATCCCAATGTCAGAGCACATTCATCTCCTGGAGTCTAGTCAGCCCATATAGAGCCTCTCCCTTAAAGAATATCTACTCTCCCTCATTCTGCAGTGTCAGTTGCTAATAGTTCCTCAGCTTGGGTTGGGGGCCTTTTGCCCATTTCCCCAGTTCTATGTTGAATGTTTGTCTGATTGAGTCAGCATGGGTCTTGTACATGCTGCCACCATTCTTGCAAGTTCATATGAGCAAATTCCCGAGGCCTGAAAGCCTCTGTTTCCTTATGCTCCTGCACCACCCCCAGCTCTTACAATCTTTCTGCCTCTTCTTTCGCAATGGTCCCTGAACCATGTGTGGGTGAGATTTAATATAGGAGCTCTATCCAGGAGCACACTATCTGCAGGTTCTTATTGTCTAAAACTTGGCCAGCTATGGCCTATGCACATTGCATGCTGTTGTATGAGGAAGCTTCACTGGTTAGAGTTAAGGGATGTGTTAGTATTCTCTCTACCCCTGTCCCACTGTGTGCCATGAACCTTAGGGGTAGAAGTTCCACTGTAGATGTGTCACTTAGGGCATCTCTCGGACATATATTCTCGTGTGTGATCAGTTGTGGGACCCTGTAATAGTCACCATCTGCTGAAAACTGAAGCTTCTTCAGTGAACAGTGTACGATATACTTGTCTGCAAATATAAGGATCAATTTTAGCATACAGTAAGAAATTTCATTTGTCTAGAGATAGGACAGAGATAGGTTTTCTCTAAGATCTGAGACCTCTCCAACCATGTGTATTTGGCTATATTTACAGTGCCACCCACCCAGAGTTATAGTCATAAAAACAGCATGGTACTAGCACAAAAACAAACACATAGATCAATGGAACATAATAGAAGGCCCAAACATGAGTGCACGAAATGTCAGCCACCTGGTATTTGACAAAGGTGCCAAGAACACACAATGGAGGAAAGACAGCATCTTCAACAGATAGTGCTGGCAAAACTGGATCTCCACCTGTAGAAGAATGAAGTTAGACCCTTACCTTTCACCTAGCACAAAAGTCAACTCCAACTGGAAACCCTGAAACAGCTAGAAGAAAACACAGGCAGTATCCTACAAGAAGTCGAATATTTATTCTCTTCTACATTAACTAGTCCCTTCTCCATTGCTATTGACTATGACAAAATCCTATGCTGTAGCTTTGTAATAAATCTTGATATCTGGTATAGCAAGTCTCTACCTGCTCATTTTCATTAAAAACTCTCCATAGTTCTTGGTCATTCCTCTCTTCTATAAATCATATTCATCAGTTTGTGGCAGGAAGAGGCATTTGAGACCTCTCTTTGCCTTTGTGTTGGCTATAGAAAATTTGGCAATTGCCACCTTTACAGAATTGAATGTTCCTGTTTAAGGATGTGATTTTTCCACTTGTCAACTCTTGTTATTTGCCAAGAAAATTTTGTAATTGTTATCTTTAAAATAATTTGCATGTGGTTTGTTAAGATTATGCTTTATATTTTTTGTTCCTAGCACAAAATATTTTAAAATATATTTTCTGTGAAAATAGAATTTATTTTTTTAATTTAATAAAATTTTTATTAGTTTTTTTTTTTTTTTTTTGTATTTCATACAGAACAGCTCGAAAACTCTCAATCATCTTTATAACCCCGTCTTTACGGCACCCTCCCACTGGAGCCCATATACTCTCTCATCCCTGTCAGGCCCACTGGGTTGTCAGTGTTCCCAGCCATTCCCCAGCACAAGTCCGTCCACTAAGTCTAGTTAACCTCTCTAGAGTACCTTGTTTTAGGAAGATCAGCTCTTCTTCATTCAGCAACAATCACTTGCCAATATTCCTTCAGATAAGGTTGAGGTCTATTGTTCATTTTCCCAGTTCTATGCTGGGTTATTATCTACCTGAGTTTGCATGGGACCTGTGTATGCTGACACCATTGCCATAGACTCATATGAGCAGGTTCCCAGGAACTTTATTCTTGATGGGAACTTCTCCAGAAG